ACAAGCAAAATCAGCTGCCAAGTCAAAAAAATGCAAGTAAAGTTAAAAAATACACACAACAAAAGAGATGTCTTTGGATGTATTCTCAATAACTAATCTATGTCATACTAAGCAAACAAAAAACACACACATTGTTGATGATAAGGCATTCACCTTTGTGCCCGGATAAAGCACAGAATGCTTGGGAAACGTCAGTTCATCGCAAATCGTGCAAAAAGGCATGAAGACATTCAAACTTAAAAGACACTGAAGACAACCAAACCTGAGTCATGGCATGACCCCCGGAATTCTTTAATGTCAAACACATCTAACTAATCCAACTACAACATCGTCATGAATGACCGTCTCTTGCGACAAAGATGCCGGGCGCGGCCCTTCTCCGCTGCCAGGAACGATCAAACATTTGGCTTCTTCTTCGGCATCCGCATCGCATCTGACAGATTCCCAGTAGCAGAGTGACAAAACCTGTGGCAAATCATGCATCTTTGCAGATTGGACTGGACCAATTTGTCCAGCCATAGACTTGCTAGCACAGCTAGTGTCAAGACACAACTTAAAATCCTATATACAAACAATCCGAATTTGTGTAGTTTTGGTCTTCTGGTCGTTGTCAATTCTCGGTGCTGACACTCTTGCAAATATACCCTCCTGTTGCGTGAGGCGTGGACAATGCGCTTCGTGCCCATGCAGTTCACATTCGTTCTCCTTGCTGCATTTGCTACAGCACGTCTCCTGACATTCCGAAAGGATGCTCGCACGGTGCAGCTAGAACATCCACAAGGGCATCTACAAATACACAGCCTTCCCCGGATTTTAGAATAAAAACCTTGGACTGGATTGGGCTTTGTTTGAGAAAATGGGCTGGCCTCAAAAGGGGCAACGTCTGTGCCATCCACTCCTTTCCAAACTCCTTGGAACATACTATATATATATATATGAAACACAATAATTAATAAACTGTGTTGTAGGACACCCTGTCCTTGTTTCTTTCTGCACGGAAGTTGCAATTGACACACTGCGTGCAGGGCACAATATCGGACTCCCACGCATTCATGGCTGCAAATGTGTTCACAAGTGTCAAATTGTAGATGCCAGGTATGAAATGATTGGATATGATGTGGTTTTTAGGTGTTCTCTGCCTTTCTGCAAAGCAATGTTGTGTCGCCACACCATTTATGCCTAACACCACCTGCGCTGTGATGGAGCCAGTGGCATGCCAATCGAACCCGTTCAATGTGCACGCCATTACTCACCCCGGCAGCAATGCACACTGTCCCTGAAGAAATGTAGGACTTTTTTGTTGTCACAGCAATGCCTGAATCGTGAGGACCACATGGAGTTGATCGCATCCAGGTCCAGAAATCCCATGAAGCTTCATTGAAGTGCTTTAATAGCATCTTCCATTGGCACGTAGGTCAGAATTCCCTGACAGTTCTTTGATGTTTTCTGTCTTCCTCCGTTTGGACAACACATCTGCTGAGTGCTGAAATAAGAAATACAGAGTCACCTCTTTGTGTTGGGAGTGCCTCAAGCTGTGTCAACTAGCTATGACGACAATCAAATTGCTGGTCTTGATTTTGTTGATAGCATGCGAAGGTCGTGCAAATTTCAATGCGTGATTTTGCACCAAACCTACTGGACTACTGGCTATAGGTCGAAACCAAACACCTCAGGTTGACACAGCACATGAAACAGCACTTTCAATTTGCTCCGATTCCGTAATTAGCTTTTGTTATCCAAGTCCATGGTCCTTCCAGCCCTAGAGCCGATGCCCGATGCCTTGTCTCGGTAGTAGTAGGTAACCTTTCCATTCTTCGTGATCACAACTCCCCCTTGCAACAAGAGGGAACAACGAAGTCTACAAGGGCAAATATGTTTTAAACACATGCCCAGAATCATGTGAGCAGGAGTCCTTGCTGCACAAGCAGTTCGTCATCTTCAGGCGCCAAATCACTCCAATTGGCAATGATGCCTTGATCTTTGTAAAATGTTCGACTTACTGTCCTCATGATCCCGAAAAGTGCTATTGCAGAACATGATGCACCAAAGCCGAGACACCTCCGACCATGTTCCTTGGATGTTCATAGCAACATGGCAACTTCTGACGAGGGAGGTATAGGTCAACTGACTTCGCGAGTGTGTTGAAGTGGAAAAACTCTGATACAGTGCGTGTGTATCAACCAACGCCTGGCTCTAAAACAACTTTCTTTGACGGCAAGCATGATGACAATGTGCCTGGTTAATGATCATGCCCTCTCAAGCACCAGCATTTTTCCTTTTCGTTCCCCAATCCGTTTACTGTTGGGGTTCTCTCTTAATAAGAAAGGGCTGGCCACAGTGGCTGGCTGCGCTCCTGAACGTTGTGCCTGGGTCTTGTCCTCCTCCTGTCGCGCTGGCCAACCCTGTGTCCTCCTCTTGTCCTACTGGCGCTTGCAGTTGTCCTGATGTTGGCCCGTAGGTCCCCGTCAAGAAAAAGGAAACTGGTCACAGTGCCTGGCCGAACGCTGTGAACCGGGTCTTGTCCTCCTCTGGCCCTCCTGGTGTCATGCTGTTGTCCTCTGGCGGAGCTGGCCAGCCCTGTGTCCTCCTCTTGTTCTTCTGCTGGTGTCCAGATGATGGCATGGCAGCATGGAGACATGACACCGCGCAATCAAAGGGCCTAGTACGAGAAAGCAATTGCGCACCTAGTGGGAAAGCGCCAGCCAGCAAGCACGAAGACGGCAGTACGGCCATGCCGCGTGGCAGCCTGTCAGCGTGTAAACATGACAACATGTGAGCGTGCGCTACAAAGCGGTGAAGCACTGGAAGCACAACTCCAGGAAGGAACCCCAGAAGCCGATGTCCTCTCCTTGTCCTCCTGTTGTCCTCTTCTTGTGAGGTTCTCTGGTTCTCTTAGGAATAAAAGTTGGCCACAGTGTCAGGCCGCGCTGGCGAGCCCCGTCCAGATGTCCTCCTCTTCTCCCCTCGTTGCAATCTTTTTGGTCCTGTCCATCATCGTCTTGTCTTTCTCTTGTCCTCTCTTCCTCTTCATCTCCTCTTGTTCTTCTCTTGGCATGCTCCCCTCATGTTGTTCTTTTGGCGTTTTCGGGTCACAGCTTGTCCTTCTTTTGTCCTCTTGGTGTGTTTGTGTTGTTTTCCTTCCCTCATCCTTTTGTCCTCCTTATGTCCTGCTGCTGTCGCGCTGTTTACGTTGTTTGGGCTGGGGCTGCGGCCGCCCACGACAACAATAATTCTTGCCAACTAAGCTGTTTGGGGTCTATGCTGGTATAGTTTTATTTCTCTGTACCGTGTTCTTTAGACTAAGGCTCTGTAGCCGGATGGTGGCCAACTCGAAGGGTCTGAGGCCTTCCTGGCCGAAGCCTTCGTCCCAAACGCCGTTGCCCACTTCAGCCAGCTCCAGCATCTTCCAGTCCTAGGACAGGCAGGGACGGATGTGATGTCTGACCTCTGCCTGCAAACCTACAATCTCGGCCAAGCAGATTCGCCTTGTAGAGCAAGCTGTTGAACCTTTACTTTAGCAGTTTAAACAATCACAAACGAAAGGTCCAAAGAAAAACAATAGAAAAGCAAGGTCAAAAGGAAAAACCATCTGAACAATTAAAGGACCGGATAACCCCACATATGAATCTTTACGAATCTTAAGTTTCTAAAGCACAAAGCAGTCAGAGTCTCAATAGCTTCTACAACACGGCCTTGTCAGGAAGTTATATCAGATTTACGCAACAGAGGGGTGGGAGAGAGGTGTGGGAGAGTGATGTGCACGGGGTATGCACGAGGTATTGCGCAGACATGTGTGCGCAGCCACAACTAGCCGAAGCAAAACCCCATCGCTCTGCCGACGTAAAACCCTATAGCATGGAGGTTCACAAAGTGCTGCGCCTGCCACGAATTCTGCACGT